AAAACATTTTACTTCTTTATTGCACTAGTCACCACTGTATTTTATATTTATTATCTCCCAGTCTTCCCATTGTTTCATTATTGCTACATAACCATCACTAGACTTAATGGCTTAAAGCAACAATTAATCACTCACTCAGCTGGTGACTAGACCAGCCTGGAAGGCCCCAGAAAATGTCACTCACATATGTGGCACTTTGGTGCTCCTCCATGCAGCCTCTCTTGCCTGTCTCATTGATTTGTAGTGTAGATGATGCTCCTTTAGAGCATGGCATCTCAGAGAAGAGATGGAGGTTGCCAGTTCTCTTAAGGTCTGAATTTTAAAATTCCAGAACTTCATTTCTGCCACATTCTATTAGCAAAAAAAAAAAAAAAAATCACAAGGCTAGTCGATGTTCAAGGGAAGAGAAAATAGATTTCATCTCTTGATGTCAAGAGTGGCACTTGTGTACACAAAGAGAAGAACTGATGGCTGCCACCTCTGGAGACTATCTTCCACATCATCAGAGTGCAAGTTCCATGAGAGCAGGGACTCTTGTTTCCTTTGTTCATTATGTCTCCCCAGTGTCTAGAACAGTGCCTGGTACATGATAAGTGTACAATAGATATTACTTTAGTCTGAATTTAAGGAGCAGGAGAAAGAAGAATATGCAAAGGTAGAGAAGAAGCTGAAAAGGTAAGCAGAAGCCCTTGCAAGGAGTTGGGACCCAGAAGTCAAGGAAAAAGGGAGTCAAAAGAAGACTGAAAACCATACTCTTATGGGTTGAATTGTGTAGTAAATCCTAGGGTTTTCTTTGTTACGTTATTGATGCCACATGGTGCAGTGAATTACTTAGTCTGGCTCTTCTAGCCACAGTCTTTGTGATTCCCACCAGATTACTGGGTGTTAACTATGCAAACATAAGGTGCTTGCAGCCCACCAAGGGAATGTGATAGCTTGTTAGTAATGCAAATAAGGTACATGATACCCATATGGGGGTGGGATCATGGAAATAAGGTATATGGAACCTTAATGTGGGCACTGGTCAGTTTTGCCATTTTGCTAGGTTTAAAATGAATCCTCTCAGAGGTGGAAAAGGGAGAACTCACTACCATCAAGAGAGAGAAGCCAGGAGGGGAGTGTGTCTTTGGACCCAAGATCCCTGCACTGAGACAGCAGCAGAGAGGACCAGCAGAGAGAGGGTGACAGCAGAGCCAGAGATCAGCACAAGACTGAGTGGCAGGATCGATGGCCCATGGAGCAAGAAAGCTGAATGCCTTTGGGCAGGAGCCTTCTTGGCAGAGTGGGGTGCACCTAGATGCACCTGCAGAGCTCAAAGAGCTTTGTAACACTTGCTGGAGCAGTGCAGAGGCCAGCCTGAAAGGCCGAGGGCCAGAGAGAGGGGTGCGTAAGGCCAGAGTCCAGGGCTGGCTGTTCTGATTGAAGAATTGTATCCTGAGCATTCCTGAACCTGGATTATAACCCGTTACTTTCCTAATAAACCCCAACATCATGAGTGTTGTCTGTGAGTTCTGTGTGGCCACTGCAATGAATTGTCGAACCTAGCAGAGAAGCAGTGAGTGCTGTAGAAGGGATGGTTCGTGTCCGAATTGGTAAAAAGCTTGAAGGGTGGTGGCATGTCTGTCTCTCTCCTCATAAGAATCAGCTTTGGGCTGCTGATGGCGATTCTGTCTCCCACTGGCGAAGCTAGAGGAGGTCAGAGAAGGATACTGTCTCCATGTCCTTTGTGCAGGCAGTATTCATTAGGGTATGTCTTAGATCAATATCTTTTAGGATGTAAGAAACAAGACAGATTAAACCAGCAGCAAAAAAAAGCAGAGATGTGGGAAGATAGAGACAAAGCCACGTGAAGATTACTGAGAAACAGAAGCTCAAAAGAGACAAGGCCCTTCTTTCAAAACCAATAGAGAGAGAAAACTTCCCCTAGAGCCATACCTTGAATTCAGACTACTAATCTCCTAACTGTGAGAAAATAAATTTCTGTTAAATTTTCAAGGATTTCATTTTACTTGGATCCAAAATCAACACCTAAGGAAGTCAAGAAATCAAATGATCTATTGCATTGAGCAAATCTGTTGTAAAAGACCCTTTAAAGTGTTTAAGAGCAAAGATGTCACTCTGAAGACAAAGGTGTGCCTAACCCACACCTCGGTATTTTCAATAACCTTACATGCATGTGAGAGCTGGACAATGAATAAGGAAGACCGCAGAAGAATTAATGCATTTGAGTTGTGGTGTTGGTGAAGAATATTGAATGTACCATGGACTGCTAGAAGAATGTCTTGAAGGAAGTACAGCCAGAATGCTTCATAGAAGAGAGAATGGCCAAACTTCATCGCTAATACTTTGGTCATGTTGTCAGAAGAGACCAGTCTTTAGAGAAGGGTATCATGCTGGGTAAAGTTGAGGGTCAATGAAAAAGGGGAAGACTCTCAATGAGATAGATTGATGACAGTGACTGTGACAATGGATTTCAGCATGACAGCAATTCTGAGGATAGATCAAGACCAGGCAGTGTTTTGTTCTGTTGTACACAGGGTTGCTATGAGTTGGGACCACTCTATGGGTGATAACAACACAAATCTTTATGGAAGCAGACTACCTCATCTTTCTCCCACAGAGCAGCTGCTGGGTTCAAAATGCCAATGCTTTAACCACTGCCCAGAGCTCCTTCCTGAAAGGATTCTAAAAATATAAAACTCACTGCTATCAGGTCAATTCTGACTCCTAGCGACCCCCTCTGGGTTTCTAAGGCTGTAAATCTTTATGGAAGCAGACTGCTCCATCTTTCTTCTGTGGAGCAGCTGGTGGATTCAAACCACTGACTTTTTGGCTAGCAGTCAAATGCCGTAACCACTACACCACAAGAGAGGAGAGACTTCTTCCAAGGAGAGAGAGAAGGAAAGGGTGATTGGTTCTCTGCAGGTAGATTTGATGACAGTGGTGTGATGAATGTTAAGGAAAAGTCATACCTAATGGTCTCTTTTTCCTCAAAAATACAGCAGGCAGAGTTTCTAAGACATTTTATCTATTTATTTACATAGGAGCTCTAGCGGTGTAGTGCCTAAGGCACTTGACTGCTAACCAGAAGGCTGGTGGTTCAAACTCACCAGCCACTCCTCAGAAGGAAGACTAGGCAATTTACTTCCGTAGTGATACTGCCTCGGAAACCCAAGGAGGGGTCGCTATGAGTCTGGTTCGACTCATGGGCACTGAGTTTGGGTTTCTATTTATTTATTTATATACCAAAGAAAGGGAGTGGATAGGAGAGTTCAGAAGGACCTTAGGAAAGTGTGAGGGTTGAGGAGAAATTCTGAGTAGCAATGTGTAAAAGGACTGCCTTAGATTTAGCAAGATCGCCTGGCTACATAAAGACCCAGTTGAGCTGGACAGCTTTGCTTTGCAGTGGAGTAGATTATGTGATTTTCTGCACTGGTGAGGGAGTGGACAACGTTGATTGAATTGCTGCAATTTAATAGTTTCTGCAGGTCCGCGGAGGTTCAACGAGGCAAGGGTGCTCATGGACTTGATGGACCATTTACCTGCAGGCGCTTCAAACCTTGAGTACATATTCATCACTGGTGGTCTAAATACCGGTCTGCAGTTCCAACGATGGCATACAGCCTAGCAGCAGAGAACTTGGCATTTACTGTATGCCAAGAATGGCGGCTCCAGAAAATCTTCATGGCCGGTTTAGGTGGTGAAGTTGGATAGGGTGGGATTGCGGCTACCACAAGAGGACTGTCATGAAACTGTTCGCTGGGCAAGCAAACTGATTTTATTCAGATTGTACATTGAGGAGCTCTGTGAAGATTACAGGAGAGGTCAATTAATTTTCTCCTACCTTACTCTGTCCTTCGGGGCTGCAATTAATTTAAATAGTAGAAATACAGCAGCGTGGACAGTCGGGCCAACCGGCACTAGATAGCTATGGCGTCATTCGCTGGGCAGAAAGCTACTACCGCTAGGGTACAGTCCGTAGTGGTAGTTTTAAAGCTATCCTAGCCTACTCATTGCAAAGAGTAGCGAACTTAACCTTTCAGTTCTTGCAGTTTGTGGCGAAAATGAGATGATGGCAGTTCATTCGCTCCCAAACAACCTCCCCCCCCCCATTTGTTACCATGGAAGCAGCGGCGTAGCAATCCCGGGCGACTCCAGGTTACGTCATCGATCAAGCGCGTCCACAGACTGGTGGTTCCGCCCCGGCCTGTGGGAGGGGCAGTACGCCCGAGAACATTGCCCACGGTGCCTAACGCCTCATCAGTAATTTTGAACTTTATGAGATCCCGTCGGGGGGTGGGGGGCGTCTCCTTGGTTAACTCCTACTACTCAAAGAGCACCCCCAACACCTACTTGCTTGCGGCCTACAGCCCCGCCTTGACATGGAGGCCCCGCCCCTCGTGAATCAGCTGATCTCGGTGACCGCGGGTTTGCTGGGCTCCTGCCGGACGCAGAGCGCGGTGCTGCTTGTAGAGCGTCAGGTGAGAGAGCCCTGGTCCGAATTGGCTTCGGAGGGTTGACCGGCCGGGCTGTCCTGTCTGCGGGAAGCTGGGGTTCAGGAGAGAGGCGGAGACTCAGCCTGAGGCCCGAGAGCACGCTGCGGGGGCCTGCGGAGACGGCGCCCGCCGGGACGGCGCCTGTATCCTCCCAGCCTGGGCGTCTGACCGACGCGGACCCTTCGCCCCGGCCCCCTGGTTTTCTAACTGGCCCGCACCCCTTGCCTCCCCAGACAGGCCGCCACTGCAGTAGTCTTTGCGCGTGAGATGCCTTCACGTCCTTCATTCCCACCTCCACCCACGCTGCCTTTTTCTATCCATTCATGAGGATTTATTGATGTCCACTCTAGGCGCTGAGCAGATAAACACTAAGATCCCTTGCCACGAACCTTGGTGAGTGTCCCAGGCCGGTTTCTTCTAGGGTGCACATCATGGTGAAGAGTGGCAGCCCGAGGGTTCTGGCGGCTTGAAAAGGCGATTGAGTGAAAAGAGAATGCCTTAGATATTAACAATTAGTAGTTTAACCTGGTGCCTCCGTGGTTAAGCCAGCGGCTGTTAACTGGAAAGATTGGCTGTTCGAACCCACCAGCCGCTCTATGAGAGAAAAGATGTTGTAGGCTGCTTCTAGGCTTGGAAACCATATGGGACCCTTTGTCCTACAGGGTCGCTATGAGTTGGAATCTATTTGACGGCAACGGGTATGTAGTTTAGCCAAGTCTTTCTGGGTGCCAAGTGATTCGTCAGAGGGGAGGACACGTTCTTTTGAAAATCCAAGACAGGAAAATAGTAGGGGCGATCGCCAGGAAATGGCCTTGACGCTAATTGTTGGTTTTCTGGACCGTAGGGCTACTTTGTAGAAATGCAGACACAGGCCGATAGAAGTGATGTATTAAATTGGTTTGAAGGAATAAAACTCTGTTGTGAGCATCTACAGAAATTGAGCAAACTTACTGGGTCCAGAGTTTTTCCACTTATCATAAATATGTATGATTTGGAGTGACTAAACTCTTGAGTTTATGAATGAATTTGAGTTTATATTAGTGAAAAATATGTTTTTCAAATAGCAAATAGCAGTATTTTAAAATTAATGTAAGCATAGTGGTTAAGATCCTAGGCTTTGGATCTGGGCAACCTGGCGTCCCATCCACATACACCTTTGACTTTGGCAAGTTACTTAACCTCTCTGCTTTCTGAAGCAGTTATCTAATCTGGGGATAAAAGTCTTTTTTTCCTAATAGTACTGTCATATGTTGTGACTCATTTATTACAGTTCCTGATACATGTATGTTTAATACATATCACTTCTTAAAATTAACTTTTGCTTCATGATAACTTCACCATGACCCAGACTGACTCATCTTTTTCCTAAATGAGGGGAAGAGAACAGAGTATTTTTTTGGAAAAGAATTTTAAAGAACAACAAACTCATTGCCCTCCCGTCTGTTGACACGTAGAGACCCTGTAGGACAGAGTAGAATTGCTTCGTATGGTTTTCATGGCTGTAAATCTTCACAGAAGCAAACTGCCACATCTTTTCTTCCCCGAAGCAGCTGGTGAGTTTGAACTGCCCACCTGTTGGTTAGCAGCCTAGCACTTTAACCACTGCACTACCAGGACTCCTGGAAAGAATTTTACTTTGCCTTTTTTTTTTTTTTTTTTTAACATCAAGGGATAGTTTCCAGATAATTTTGTGATAGATAGACTGACATTTAGAGAAAATATGATTTTAAGTTGATCTGTGGCAACTTTGGTATTCCACATGGACATTTTATTATGGAAAAGATACTGATGGAATCTGTATCTAGTTAAATTCATTACTTCCTAAGCTATAACTGGTACTGGCATATTGAAGATCATAGTAATAGCAAGGAAAGTTCAGAGTTGTTTCACAGTGTTAAAATTTGATAAGATAATGATGCAGAAAATAAAGTGCCAAAGTGGTAATTTTGGGGAAACATAGAATGACCTCACACAAGCCACTTACTCTTTAAATTGATTTACCCAGTATGAACTGGAATCTTTTCTCTCCAAATTCCATCTTTTCAAAATTTAGGTTATCATTTGAGATACCTTCTTTTGACTGTTAAAGAAACAAAAAGTATGTTAGGGACTTAGACCTGATTTCAGATTTTGTGTGATTAGTTGGAAAGAGGACTATTATCTTCTACCTTTTCTTTCTTTCTTTTTTTTTTTTTTTAAAAAAAAAGAATTTCAAGGCTTTTTGAGATAAAGTAGTATTGCTGGGTCAGTTTTAAAGGTAATTCCAAAGAGTATTGTAGGATTCTGTATTAATTTGGGTTGAAAAACCAAGGAAGGAAGATACAGAGGTAATATTTGACTTGTAAAGAGGGCCCACTTTGATACATTGTCTGAAGTTGAACCCCTTTCTCATTCAGAGGATTTCTCTGAGGATTTTAGTGACTTTGAAATCATTTAGCTCTTTTTATAATTTCACAGTGCTCTATCTGTCCCATAGTCCATTGTGTTAGGGAAACAGACTTTCCTGATACAGTTTATTGTTTAAACAATTTTTTTTCCTTTTTCATTGTAACCAATTAGGTCAGTCATCAGTGGTAGATATGGTGGGGTAATGGTTCTTAAGAAAATGCTTGGTGACCACAAAGAAAGTAGCATCAGAGTATGATTTGGTTCCTTTAAGTTTGTGCTTGTTTTCCTATTGCTATCTATTTCTTTGTATATATGAATGGAACTGTATTTATCTGTTGGAACTTTTTCTTGTGGCTTGGGTAAAAGTTTACAGAGCAAATTAAAATTTTGCATTCAATAATTATTGCACATTTTGTTTCGTGACACTGGTTACAATCCCCTCAATGTAACAGCACTATTCACACTTCTTGTGTTCCCTGTTTCTTTTTGTCCTTCCTTGCCCTTCCTGCCTTCTAAGCTTTGTTTTTGGTCTCAAATGATTGGTTGTTTTGAGGAGTACATCGCTCCCTGGGTTGTTGTTGTGTGCCATGGAGTCGGACCCGACTCATAGCGACCCCTCCTTGGGTTTCTGAGGCAGTATCACTATGGAAGTAGATTGCCCAACCTTCCTTCCGAGGAGTGGCTGGTGGGTTTGAACCGTCTGGTTAGCAGTCAAGTGTCATAGGCACTACACTACCAGAGCTCTGTTCACTTTATAGGCCTATTGTTTGACTGAAAGCTGCTCCCTAGGGGTGTGTTCAGTTGCAAGCTTAAAGGCTATCTAAGGACCACAGTCTCAGGAGGTCCACCAGTCTCTATTAGACCAGTAAGTCTGGGTTTTTCTTTTTATGATTTGAATTTTGTTCTGCATTTTTTTTTTCCCTCCTACTGAGTGCAAGACCTTCTGTTGTGATCCTAATCAGAGAGATTGGTAGGGGTGTCAGGGCACTACCGAATTTTTCTAGTCTCAGGCTGCAAAGGCTATGGTTCCTGTTAGTCCTTTGGGATGATTGTTTCCTTAAATCTTTGATTTTCTTTACTTTTCTTTATGCAGATGGGGAGAGACCAATAGTTGCATCTTAGATGGCCATTCGCAAGCTTTTAAGACCTCTTAAGCTTTTAAGACTGAACAAAGTAGGATACAGAACATTGTTTCTATGGACTATTACATTATGCAGGTTGACCTAGATGATCCCAAAACTTGGTCCTAAGCCCCCAAGCCCAGTGAGTCATTGCCCAGGTGTTTGGTCATTGTTTGGTTATGGTTTATGTTTGGTGTTTGGTTATGGCTAAGAAGTTTTCAGAACTTTGCCCCTTGCTTGCTCTACTGTGAGGAGATCTGCCGGTACAATGGTTAAAGTATTTGACGACTAACCACAAGGTAGGTGGTTTGAGCACATCAGCAGCTAGATGGGAGAAGGATGAGGCAATGTGCTGCTGTAAAGATTTGTTGTTGTTGTTGTTATGTGCCGTCGAGTCAAACCCGACTCATAGCGACCCCTCCTTGGGTTTCCGAGGCAGTATCACTACGGAAGTAGGATTGCCCAACCCTCCTTCCGAGGAGTGGCTGGTGGGTTTGAACCGCCAGCCGTCTGGTTAGCAGGCAAGTGTCTTAGCCAGTCGTGGAAACCCTATGGGGGTTGCTGTGGGTTGGAATGTTTTGTTTATGTGCTACTGTATCCATGGATAAGGAGTTCTGGTGGCATAGTGCCTAAAAGACACTTGACTGCTAACCAGAAGGTAAGGAGTTCAAACCCACCAGCCACTCCATGGAAAGAAGACTGGGCAATCTATTTCCATAAAGATTTACTGCCTCAGAAATCAAAAAGGGGTCTCTATGAGTCAAAATTAATTCAATGCAAGTGAGTTTTTTTTTTTTTTTTTGCATCCATGGATATATTAGCAGCACATGCAAACACATATGTGTGAATACCCTTTGCCAAACCTATATATACAATCATGAGTGCACTCCCATGTGCCTTCCCATATCAACTTGCATGTCAACCAATGTATCTACTTGTAGGTTATTGTTTTACTGTTATTACAGGATTGTATATATAATAATATTTACCTTTGTTGTCTTTTACTTTTGTGCAACTCCAAGTGCTTTACTTTGCCTTGGCCATATTGTGCTGACCTTCCCTTTATTGTATATTACCTTTCCCGTCACCTGGGATAATACATGCCTACTCTCTAGTTAGTGATTTTTGGAACTGACTTTAGATTAAGTCTTGATAGGTGCCTGCTTGCAGCTGAACTAATTGATTCAAATGGGTAGAGCTAAAATATTTAAATCAACAGGGTAGCAGGGTTTTTTTTTTTTTTTTTGACTATTTACATTTTTTTTTTGACAATTGTATGTTGTTCGAATTGGTTCCAACTCATCTGTTGTTCCAGGTACAACAGACTGGTGTGTTGTTCTTTTAAATTTGAAGGAAATATTGTGTTTTCTCAATTCATATGAGAAAAAGGCCTAAGGCCTTTTGATAGTGTATGCCCAAAAAGAAGGTAATCTTTACTCTCATCAATGCCATGAATTGCTCAACTCATGTTTCCTT